TATATATATATATATATATATATATATATATATATATAAAGTACACAAATATTTATGTATATTTATTTATTTATTTATTTATTTACTGTTGTTTATTTATAAATTTATATTTGTTCCCTTATTTATATTTATTATTTTTGTTTTCTTTATTATCTTTTATTTTGTCTAAACCCTAAACCCTAAACCCTAAAAGCCTAAACCCTAAACCCTAAACCGTAAAAGCCTAAAGCCTAAACCCTAAACCCTAAGACCCAATGAATAAAAACAAATAAAAATAAATAATTTGTTTGTTCCTTTAAGGCATATAAATGCCAAACCCTAAACCCTAAACCCTAAACCCTAAACCCTAGCAGGGTTTGCTAGGGTATTAACAGCTGCTAATGTGCGCATTAACTGATCATCCTTTTGTAGTTCCTTAATAGCTGCCTGCATGCACACATACACAGCAGCAGCAGCAGCAGCAGCAGCAGCAACTGCAGCAGCCGCAGCAGCAACAGCAGCAGCAACAGCTGCAGCTGGAGGGACAGCATTTATTAATTAGGGTTTAGGGTTTAGGGTTTGTGTGTTGCTTACAATAGCATTGCCGCAGTGTTTGTTTGCTCTAGGAGACAGTAAACCTGCAATTTGCTGCTGCTGCTGCTGCTGCTGCTGCTGCTGCTGTTGCAGTTGCTGCAGCAGCAACAGTAGCATTGTTGCTGATTCACAGACAGCAGCATGCTTCCCTGCTGCTGCTGCTGCTGCTGCTGCTTCTGTAGGTGCAGCAACAGCAGCAGAATTTAATCCTCCCAGCAGCAGCAGCAGAGGCCTCAGACGCAGCAGCAAACTTGCTGCTGCTGTTGCTGCAGCAGAACGGAACGCTAATGCTAATGTTTGTTCTGCTGCTACTGCTGCATCTGCTGCTGCTGTTGCTGCTGCTGCTGCTGCAGCAGCAGCAGCAGCAGCAGGAACAGGAAAAGCAGCAACTCCATGTGCCAACACCGGCAGCAACTGCTGCAGCAGCGGCAGCAAATACCCAAACTCGCGGGGATCCACCACCAGCTGCTGCTGCTGCTGTTGCTGCTGCTGCTGCTGTTGTTGCTGCTGCTGCTGTTGTTGCTGCTGCTGCTGCTGGGGTATATTTCCTATATTAAGGAAAGGCAGCAAAGTTGTAGAAATTTTTAATACCTCTACTGCCTCCTCAGCAGCACGCTTCATCGCCTCGTCGCTGCTGCTGCTGCTGCTGCTGCTGCTGCTGCTGCAGTTGCTGCTGCTGCTGCTGCTGCTGTTGCTGCTGTTGCTGCTGTTGATGGTGGTAGATCTGCTGCACCTCAAAGCAGCAGCAGCAATAAGTCGACAGGCAGTAGCAGTTCCTGGGGACAGGATGTCTGCTGCCTCAGTCTCCTGCTGCTGCTGCTGCTGCTGCTGTTGCTGCTGCTGCTGTTGCTGCTGCTGCTGTTGCTGCTGCAGCAAGTGTACCCACTGCAGCATAAAATGTTTTGTTGTCTCAGCGATGACATTCGTCAATATCTAAAAGACACAAAACACGTAAACAGCACTTGCTGCTGCTGCTGCTGCTGCTGCTGCTGCTGCTGCTGCTGCCTGCTGCTGTTGCTGCAGCAGCAGCAGCACTTGCTGCTGCTGCTGCTGCTGCTGTTGCTAGTCCTAAGGGTTGATGGGTGTATGTGTGTCTTACCGGTGGTAGATGAAGGAGGAGATCTCGTGAGGCATCCTGCTGCTGCTGCAGCTGCTGCTGTTGCTGCTGCTGTAGGTGCTGCTGTTGCTGTTCCTGCTCTTGCTGCTGCTGCTGCTGCTGTTTCTTCTGCTGTTGCTGCTGATGATCATGAATGATGCTGCTGCTGGCTGCATCATATCTAGCAGCAGCAGCAGCAGCAGCATCAGCAAGACATGCAATCCCACGCAGCAGCTGCAGCAGTTGCTGCTGCTGCAGCCGCCCTGCATGCATCTCTGCTGCTACAGCAGCAGCACGCATCCCCAGCAGCAGCAGCGCGCTAGCACTCTGTTGCTGCTGCTGCAGCAACACCCGACCACGAACACTCTGCTGCTGCTGCATGCGAGGCGAGGATCGAGGAGACAGCAACTCCGCAGCACTCAGCAGCAGCTGCAGCACAGCAGCAGCAGGTAGCTGCCGCAGCGCCGGCAGCAGTGCCTGCAGCAGCAGCAGCAGCAGCAGCAGCAGAAGCAGCAGCAATAGCAGCAGCACAAACAGCAAAGAGCCATAAAACAGCAGCAACACCTATATGCAACAAATTCTGCAGCAGCAGCAGAAGCAGCAGTAATAGCAGCAGAAGCAGCAGCAATAGCAGCAGCAGCAACAACAACAACAAGAGCAGCAGCAGCAGCAGCAACAGCAGCAGCAGCAGGCGAATTACCGCATGCACGCAGAAGGCCAATGGTCTTCCTTCTGATCCTGCAGAGCCAAACTGCTGCTGCTGCAGCAACTGCAGCAAAAACTCCGTTGTATGCTGCTGCTGCAGCAACTGCTGCCGTTGCTGCTGCTGTTGCTGCTGCTGTTGCTGTTGCTGCTGCTGCTGCTGTTGCAGCTGTTGCTGCTGTTGCTGCTGTTGCTGCTGCAGCAAATCGCCTCCTCCTAACCGCAGGAGGAAGTGACGACATAGAAACACCGTAACGAGCTCGCTGCTGCAGCGGCCTGCTGCTGCTGCTGCTGCAGCTGTTGCTGCTGCATGCACAAGCTCTGCGTCCTCTAGCCTGTGCTGCTGCTGCAGTTGCTGCAGCAGCTGCTGCTGCAGCTGCTCCCACTCATAAGATCTAAGACACCCCACAGCAGCTCGGGTGTATAGGCAGCTAAATGTGCTGCTGCTTGGTTGCATGCAACTCTGGTGTCTACGCAGCTGCTGCTTAAGTTTGTGTTGCAGCTGCTGCAGCAACCGCTGCTGCTGCTGCGGGTGGTGGTGGTGCTGCTGCTGCTGCAAGACAGGCCCGATAGCTGCAGCAGCCTGCAGCAGCAGCAGCGGCGGCAGACTCTCTACCTTATCAAGTAGTGCAGCAGCAGCAGCACGTGCTGCTGCACCCTGCAGCAGATCCAGTTCCTTGAGAGCAGTAGCAGCAGCAGCAACAGCAGCAGGACTCAGCTGCTGCAGCTCATTATTGCTGCACTGCTGCAGCAGCAGCAGCAGCTGCCGCACAAAGGGGAGCTGCTGCTTCTCCTTTAAGGGCATGCATGCAGCAGCAGCAACTTGCTGCAGCAAGGGTATGGCGCCTTCTATGCAGATATGGGTAACAGACACGCCTGAATTTGCTGCTGCTGCTGCTGCTGCTGTTGTTGCTGTTGCTGCTGCTGCTGGTGTTTTTGCTGTTGCTGCTGATGCAGCAGCAGCAGCAGCAGCGTTCTGCAGCAGCAGCAACGCCTCGTTGCATATGCATGCTAGAGACTTGCGCTGCTGTTCAGCAGCTGCACGCAAATACCATCCCCATCTCTCTGCAGCAGCTGCTGCAGCAGCAGCTGCTGCTGCTTTTGAGTTTGCTGCTGCTGCACGCAGGGACAGCAGCAGCAGCTGCTGCCGCAAGGAGACACCGGAGAAGACAAGTGCTGATGAATCAAATGGCAAGAAGGCAGGAGTCTTGCTGGTCCTGCTGCTGCTGCTGCTGTAGCTGCTGTTGCTGCTGTCGCTCCTGCTGCTGTTGCTGATGCTGCTGCAGTAGTTTCTCCTCCAGGCCTTCAAATACCCGCTGCTGCTGCTGCTACTGCTACTGCTACTGCTACTCGAAGAACAGCAGCAATTGCTGCGCGTGTGGCTGTTGCCGCAGTAGCTGCTGCTGCCAATGTAGCTGCTGCTGCTGCAAGAGTTGCTGCTGCTGCAGTAGCTGCTGTTCCTCTTTCCCCGAGAAGGTTGCAGCGTAGAAGCCGTTTCAGCGGCAGCTGCTGCAGCAACAGCAGCAAGAGCAACAGGAGAAGGAGCAGCAACAGCAGCAACAGCAGCAGCAGCAGCAGCAGCAGTTGCTGCTCTGTGCAGCATCTCGTTGCAGTAGTTAAGAAGAATAAAATAAATAAAAAAGATCAGCAGCAAATCAATGTGTGCAGCAGCAGCCTTCAGGTGTATCGACAGCTCTCTATAGTCCTATAGTAGGAGTAGTAGCAGCAGCAGCAGCAGCAGCAGGAGCAGCAAATTAAGGGGGCCCCCCTAATAAAATAAATAAAAAAAGAGGTATAAATGTATTAATTAATTAAAATAAATAAAATAAAAGATAAAAAAGAAATTATTTGTTAATTATATTCTTTTTTATTAAAGAAAAACAAGAAAATAAGAAATAACTATTAACCCCCCCTTTCCTTACCTATACTGCAGTAATAAATATATATATATATATACCTAAATATATATAATTAATAAAATAAATAAAAATAAAATAAATAAAATAAAATAAAATAAATAAAAAGAATAAAATAAACAATTAAATAAATAAATAAATAAATAAATAAATAAATAAAAATAAATAAATAAATAAATATATATAACTAAGGGCGTCTAGCTCAAATGGTAGAGCGCTCGCTTAGCATGCGAGAGGTAGGGGGATCGATACCCTCGTCGTCCATTTATATTTATTTATTTATTTATTTATTTATTTATTTATTTATTTATTTATTTATTTATTTATA